AGTGGATAATTGGTTCCAGAAATATGGACAATGGTATAGTGGATAATTGGTTCCAGAAATATGGACAATGGTATAGTGGATAATTGGTTCCAGAAATATGGACAATGGTATAGTGGATAATTGGTCACATGATTAACTGTGTTGACAAAAGTTATTCAACAACTCCAATCACCACTAAAAAACACATTAAAATTATTCAGTTCATATAATCAGAAACAAACAATTAGTGGACAATCTCTGGTACATGTATTTTTAATAACACTGGAAAAAATAACACTTGTCCAGTAACAAGAGTAAAATAAAAAAATAATTAAACTTTACAATTTAAAACTAGATTACTAAAAGCAGTGGAAGAACTTTTCACATATCACTAATAACAGAAGTAAACAAAGCCAACAGATTAAAATATTATGCTTTCACCAATATAAGTATTTATTTATTTAGTGAGAAACAAAGAGTGAAAAAAAATCTTAACTACAGAGTATTAGAGTTCCTGTAGCAACACTAGCGATGTCATGAAGTTGGTTTGCATCATAGTTTGATTACAAAAACTACCATTAGAACGTAAGTTAAAATATCTCTACATCCTTACTTTAGCATCAGGGTTGCTGGGAGAATCAAAGCTTTTCAAGAAAAGCTGAAAGACTTCATTCTCTGTAAGTTCACCATTTTGATACTTTGGATGATAGCGAGCATTGTACAAACCTCGCAAATCATCCACAGTAATCACCTTGTCACCAGTACGGTCCAGCTTTCGAAAAGCTTGATCGATAAGATTCACACGTGCCTGCGACATAGGAGGCTGAAATGTAAAATGTACAATTAATGACAGTCCACCCCGAAATTCACTTGTCTATGAATTATCTTGGAAAAAGAAACTCACGGGTCTATAAAGTATGAATAGAAACACTTTAGATCTGATAGAGTAAATTTATATAGTATTATCATCATAATAAATCAAAATGTAAACTAATAACATTACATTTTAAAGATACTTAGTAAAGAAGAGAACAATATTGATTTCCAGAAGGCTTTGGACTCAGTTTTCTTGAGCTTTATAACGAGTTGTTTCAAATATTTTAAGCCTAATAATACTTGATATATGAAAACATTTGAGTATAGAAAAGGTGGCAGCTTAACATTACTTACCCTCAGTGCTTTGAGAAACTCATCAAAATTTAAGCTTCCATTGTCATCTTTATCCATGTCATTGAACAAGTTTTCAATCTCACTGTTGTCAAGATGAACTCCATAGTCATGAAGACCTTTGGAGAACTCTTCAAGGTCCAGCTTCCTGTCACCAGAATCATCCATGATCCGGAAGGATCTAGAAACATTTAACACTCTTACCAAACTTCATCAGGTAAACACACACACTCTTTAATGTTAAACATTGAACCTAAAACTAATCACCTAATAAGAATTTAACAATGGAACCAAGTTCCTTAAAATTATGTAAAAACTGTATTCAGAGAGAGTTTAAGATCCAAGTTAAATTGTGTACTAAAAGAAAATTCTTAATCTTAACAGAACTTGTAGGTATTACTTAATCCAGTCATGGAAAACTACACAAACTAACTTGATTCTAGCATGCAAAACTTCTGAAGCTACAAAACTAATTAGTTAACTTTGTTTAGTTTTATACCAAAGGCAATGTCCTATGACTAAATTTAACATAGTCCTATAGAGGAATACACAGACACCAAGGCATTACAGCTAGGACCAATTCATATTGCCCAAAGCCAAGGACAAATTTTTAGCTATACTTTGCCTGTCAGACAAGTACCTTTTTTTTTTTAATACAACTATAAAATTATTGATCGTTTCCATTAGAGGCCTAAAACAGAAGTGTTAAGATAAAATGTATACTGTGCAAATACAAATATGAAAAATTTAGACATTTGTAACTTACTAAGCAGAACTGTTAAACATACACTATCTAAAAATTTGTTCTCAACTGTACTTTATCATTATTTTTTTTTTTTTATATACAATTAAAAATATTTAATTTTAACATTATCACCACCTACAGTACTTTACCCCCAACATCTAGACACATACACAGTGAGATACTGGGTAACTTAAAGCTGTAGGTGAAGCTTTATAACTGTTTGTTGGGTGCTTAAGTGTTATAACTCATTTTATTATAAGAAAGAAAAATAGAGCATCTATTCAGATAATATAGTACTATTGTGTTAATAACACTTAACTTATCTATAGAAGCTGTTGCAGTTTTTACAATGACACGAACCATAAATTTTTTAATGGTTAGCTATGTAACACTATTTTTTCTTTAACATGAAAGAGGAGAAAAGTACAGTGCTATAGTATTTTTAGATTCAATCAATGTCAACCATATACTTCCAAAGCAACCCAAATAAAACAAACCTCAATATGTTTTGTGATTATAGTTTAACCTTACAAAGTTTAAAACCCAGTAGGAAAGAAGCAGTAAGAAAATCCAGAGTTTAATCTGATAACAGTTTAATTGTGGCAACAACACAGTTCTCTACATGTGAGCATGATCTAATAAAGACTAACTAAACTTTGGAAAGAGTTGAACATTTTATAATGTTGCCTTATATCACTTCTTGAAGTAAATACAGTGGGACATATAACCAAGACAGAATATATATATATATATATATATAGAACTCTGTAAAAATCATTTCTGAAGTACGTGATCTAGTGTGACATATAACTATGATACAGAAAC